ATGTACCGGCGCTGCGCAAGCTCCTCTTCTTGCTTGAGGGTTTTGGTGAGTCTGCGGGTGGCATCATTATAGAGTTGCTTCGAATGGGGCGATCTGCAGGATTGCCAAACGCGTCGTAGACGTCGTTTTTCCCGAACCAGTTGTTCGATTTGCAGATTAGTTTTGTATTGGTTGCTACGCACGATTGTCTCTTCTGGTGTTGAGATTTTGGCTGCTGCCACGAGTACTGACTCCAGGGCATCAGCACAGAAGTCGATGTCGTTCTCTATGTTTAACTGTGGTGTTAGTTCAATGTGGGAACTTACGTACTTTTTGTACTTTAGCCAGTTAGTTCTAGTCGAGGTCAGCCTGAAGGGGTGCTCGATTACTTTCGGGCTTTGAAGGAGAGTTATTAAAACAGGCGAGTGGTCCGATGATAAGTCCGATAGCGATTTGGCGCTGACTAAATTTCTTGGGATGTTCTTGGTCACAGCGAAGTCAATTAAGTCCGGGAGTTTTCTGGGGTCAGCTGGCCAATATGTGGGGCTGCCAGGGGAGACATAGTCGAGTTTGTTGCTCAAATTTATGATTGCTTTATACAGTTGTCTTCCTTTGGGCGTCACTAGTCTTGATCCCCAGTGCGTGTGCTTGGCGTTGTAGTCTCCTCCTGCTATAAAGCGATCTCCGAGTGAATTGTAGAAGTCCAAGAATTGCTCTTCAGTTATTGTAAAACGCGGTGGGCAATAGACAGCGGCTATAGTGATACTGCCGTTGCCTGCTTGTAGTTTTATAGATGTAGCCTGCAAATAATTTGTTGCAAACCTCTGGTGAAAGTGGTGCTTAATGCGTTCCCTGATTAGGATTCCAGTTCCTCCGTGAGCCTTACCGTCCGGATGATCTGTGCAGTATGAAGTATAACCTCTTATTTGGAAGTTGTATTTACTTGTGAGATGCGTTTCTGCCAGCAGCATTACATCTATTTGGTTTTCATTGAGGAATTGAGTTATTTCAAGTTTGTGCCGTGAAACGCCATTGGCATTCCACATGGATATTCGAAGACAAGACATCGATTATTTAGATTGTTGGGATGTGAGCAAATTTATTAAAATGTTTTGATTTTGCATAAGGTTTGTCATTGTTGTTTTCATGAAGGACATAAATTCCATCATACCCTGTTGTAAAGTCAGCATCATGGTTTCCATGCTGTTTGGTATTTGTCCTATTGCTTGCTGAGGTGTTATTATATTTTGCTCAGAGCATTGAGCTTGTGGGAACCCCGTCTGATTGGCAAGTCCTGATTTTAGGGCACTGGCGTATGAAACTCCCCCATTTGTGTTGAGGGGCCCAAATGAAGATCTGGCTGCTTTCGCAAAGAAAACATTAGGTGTGGTTTGGGATTGCACGTACGCATTTCGTGCATTCTGGGAGCGTGCTTGTTTTGCTTGTTGAAACTGACTCTTCAGCTCTTTATAGACCGGGCAGCCTCTGTAGTTTGCGGTATGGTTATCTCCACAGTTAGCGCATTTCTTTGTCTTTGGGTCTTCTTTGCTTGCAGGGCAAGGTTCGGATTTGTGGAAGCCACCACAAGCTACGCAGACTGAACGAAGCCCGCAGTTGTTTCTGGTGTGTCCATACTCTTGGCAGTTTGTGCATTGCAGCGGGCCATTCCGCTTATGCGGTTCTTCAACAGTAATCCTTCTGTGCAACAGGTATTGCAGTTTATAGATCGGGTGCACTTCATTTTTCTTCAAGGCTCTGCTTTCAGGCTCCAGTTCGACCTTAAAGAGTGGTTGCGGCTTTTTATTTTTGTTGATAATATTAATAATATTTTTGGAGAAGAATCCTTTTTCTTTCAGTGCCTCTTTTACCTCATTGGTGGATACGTCGGGCTCTATGCCCTTTAGCACTACTTGCAAGCCCTTGCTACTCTTGAGCTGGTACGTGTAGTAGGGTTTCCTAGCCTCGTCTAGGTAATTTGTTACAGCTCTGAATTGATCTTCAGTTTTAGCTTGAAGCTTTGTTTCATGAATATTCCCTTTAACAAGAGGAGTAACATAAAAGTTGTCATTCCCGACCAGCGCAACAATTTTCTTTACTAGGGTATTTGAGTTCTGTTCCCTTATGTAAATTGGTGGGGGCTTTGGTTTCTTTTGAACAGCCTGTCCAGATTCGGATTGATTATTATCAATTTCCGACAATAGGGCGAATCTGTTGTTACTAGATGCCCCTGGTTGTTCGCTGCCTTTATTAGGGCAATTTTGTTTTGGTTTATTTCCAACCATTTTATTTTGCGGGCTTAGCTTCCGTTTGATTTGGATGTAACGGTCCATGCCAGTCTGTATAGCCGGACCCACTTGTTGTTGTTTGATATTGCCGATATTGGCACTCGTACTTACACTTGGCTTTGTAGTTTTATTCGGCGCTGCAGAAGTTGCAAACGCATTCGAAATCGCGTTGTTGTTAACGGCGACCGTTGATGTTGTTGTTGCAGTGGCTGCGGTTGCAGAAATTAACGAGGTCGCAGTGCTCGTGGCTGGTGAGCTGTGAGTCGAAGCTGGGGGTGGGGTTCTACACTGCAAGCTCCATGAAGTGGGAGTTGGTGTGAGTAGGGCGGGAGAACAAGACCGTGCTCTCGCACTGTCAATGGTCAGTAGGGCTGAGTTGCTCTTTGAAGAAGTTCTTTCTACTTCTGTATCACGGGTTGAGAAATAAGAAATATAACTGTTTCTCTGGTCTACGGAGCTTCTACGCTCATTTTTTGAATCGCCGCTCATTGAGCTATCACTCGTGGCACTTCTTAGTTTTTATAATAACTTTGCACTAGTTTTTTACATAGCACTAATTATTATTTACTGTTTTTAGCAATAAGATTGCCTTTATTACACCACTCCAGTATTTTTAGTTATTGTTTTTTCACTTTTGGGGGGTTTTTTTTGGGGGTCCCCCAAAAAATTTTTTCTTCTTTGGTTTTTTTTTTTTTTTTAATTTAAAATTTTTTTTTTTTAATTTTTTTCATTTTGGCTGTGTTTTTCTTTTTTATTTTTGGAGTAAAACATGAACCAGAATGCAATTTGAGATTTGCTCAACCGAGCCCATTGACTGAACAGCACGTAGATTAGCATTTATTTTATCTAGATATATCTCTCAGCTTCGCTGCGGACCGCATTTCCACTTTAGGGAGACCCAAAACAAAAATTTTATTTTAATGAATTTTAAATTTTTTTTTTTTAAATTTAATATTAATATTATAATTTATAAAATAATTTTTTTTTTATATTTTAAAATTTATTTTATTTTTATGGTGGGGGAACTTTTAAGTTTAAACTTTAAACGCTGCAGCTTCTAATTTTTTTTTAGTTCCCCGTCTTTTTTGATGATAGCTTTGAACATGGATTGAAAGTCGACAAATTCAGTATAGCCACCAGAAAATTCAGGCAATCTCAATTCAGGCAAATGAGCTCTTTTAGCCGGGACAGAATGGAAATCCAGAGATGGCTTTGGCCTGAGCGTAGAACTTCGAAGTGCCGGACGTTGACGCTTACCCAATTCTCGATTTAGCATGATTTGCATTGATATGATGAGCTCTTCAAAATCATCGCGAGCCTGGCTGCCGATTTCATTAAAATCCAGTTCCTCAAGACTGTCATGGACCTGGGCAAATGCAGCCTTATTCTCCTCTGAGAGCTTAACACGAAGCTCTAATTCTTCCTCACTCATCGCCTGGAGCTTCTCAACAGTCAAGGCCTTCTCAGAGGATTTCGCCTTAGAAAGCATTGATTCAGCCTTCACTTTAAGATGCTTCACTCCTTGAACTGAAGCAGATAAAGTTGTTTCGGTTGACATTTTAATAAATTTATTTTATTATTTTCAGCTTTTATTACTCGCAAAATAATTAAATTCCACTGTGCAGTGCGTGCTGTACCAAAACTCTTGACCACCGAAAAACTAACGGAATGTATGTGCGTCTATTTGCACATAAACGGCAATATAGCGGTGGAAGGGGGTGCAACGAACTCGCGAACAAAAACGTTTGGTCGCCGCTGTAAAACGTTTCAAAGCGGGAACGAAGGCACAAAGAGGAAACCAAAATGTTCTCTATGATGCGCGGGGCGGGTGCGATGTGAGTTTCTAGCGCTGTTTATGTATTACCGCTTGCGCTTGCATATGTACATAGAACTTGTAGGTTATGTATATGCGCGATCAATCAAACGAACGAAAATTAAATTATTTGTTTGGTTGCACCTCAGTTTTTATTGTTTTTAGATCACGTCGGTTTTATTTTAATTGGGCAACGTCAAAATGTTGGGTCAGTGAGCTTTTTCACTAACGCTAACCTTTGCTGGTGCCCAATTAAAATAAAACCGCACAAGATTTCAATTAAATATGCAGTAATTTTATTCTAAATGACACCAAGGCCTTAATAAAATGTTGGGTCAGTGAGCTTTTTCACTAACGCTAACCTTTGATGGTGCCCAATTAAAATAAAACCGCACAAGACCGATTTGTCTGTGCCTTTTAACAGCGAAAGTATAAACGAAGAGAATGGGCGGCCGATCTGCGACCGTGCCTTCAGCGAGCGAGTACAAAATCGAAACTGAACTGAAGTAGATGCTTGCCGTGGACAAAGGGCCAGGCAGCGATCGGCGAAGGAATTGAATAGGAGTAGCAATTACAGTAATTGAAAGCGATGCCACGCAGGGCAAATAGAAAAGGCAAAAACAAACATCGAGAATTCAATTTACGTTAAGATTAGAAACTTTAAGATTTTTTTTAGGCTGCGGCATGACCGAATAATAATAATAATAATAATAATAATAATAATAATAATAATAATAATAATAATAATAATAATAATAATAATAATAATAATAATAATAATAATAATAATAATAATAATAATAATAATAATGATGATAAATTTATATTTAGTTATATAGTTATAGTTATTTTTTTATAATTACATCTCCCATGTTCCAGTTCCATTAGTTCCACAATTGCCTCTAACTTACGGACTATAGTGTGGCCCATTCGTGTTATATTAAATAACCAACATCGAATAATGATGCTGATGCTATCTTTACCCACATGTTCAGAAAATACCTTTCGCAAGTATATTCTCAGAAATATTTTACGTTAAAAATTGTGTTCATCGTTATTTAATCAATTCTAAGATATGGAAGAATACGCTCGAGAACCTTGCCCATATAGAATCGTAGACGATTGTGGAGGTGCTTTTGCTATGGGGTGCATTGGTGGTGGGGTGTTTCAAGCAATCAAAGGATTTCGTAATGCACCTTCTGGCATACACAGAAGATTGGTATGTACTGTTTTATTTCATGGTAAATTTTTAACGTATTATGTAAAAAGTCAGTAGAATATCATGGTCGGGGAGCATTGCAGTCTTTCCAACTTCATTTGAAAATTCGTTTATAATCTAATTTCTTTTAGATCGGAAGTACTATAGCAATAAAAACTCGCTCACCCGTTATCGCTGGTAATTTTGCTGTGTGGGGTGGTATGTTCAGTACCATTGACTGTACACTCGTCCACTTTCGAAAAAAAGAAGATCCATGGAACTCCATAATAAGCGGTGCTGCAACTGGGGGAATATTAGCTGCAAGAAATGGTACGGTTTGTAAATTGATGGAATTCATGTTCAGAGGTTACTTGTGGTTCGCAAGAGTTCAATTTTTTTTGCGGTATTAGCAAAAATGTTTTCAGTTCATAAGCTTTTAATACTTTTTCAACGACATCTAAGTTATAAAGAATCGTGCAATATTAAATTATTTTGTGATATCATTAAAAAATAGTTAAATACAGTGGCTCACAGCTTATTTGACCCACACCTAATTTTCAACATTAAACAGGTATAACTCCGGAACCATAAGAGATACCCATAAAAATAAAACGCAGAAAGGTTAACTGTTGTTTTAACTTCAAAAATATGTTTTAATTTATTTATTCTACCAAGGAACTTATTAATTAAACAATAAAAACTAAAGATACTGCCTTTTTCAACGTCACAGCTTATTTGACCCAGTTCATCAAATTAATTATAAAAAATTGCAAAAAAAATATTTTTTTAACTTTTAGTATTTGGTATGTCCGCCCTTTTGGTCCACAACCGACTTCAGTCGATTGGGAATAGATTCGACCAATTTTTTTTGTAGTTCCTGGGGTGATTTTAGCCCATTCTTCGAGCAAAGCCGTCTTCAAGTCATTTTTATTGGGAATATTGCGCTCCCGAATTTTTGAGTCCAGCAAAGCCCACAAATTCTCAATAACATTAAAATCGGGTGACTGAGCTGGAGATTTTATTATATTGGGACAATTATATCCCAGCCAATATTGAACAATACCCTACTTATGCTTTGGGTCATTGTCTTGGTGGAACCGAAAACCCTGTTTTATTCCCAATTTCTCAGCACTTTGGAGTAAATTATCCTTAAGGATATTAAGATAAACATTTTTATCCATTGTGATTTCAATAAATTTAAGGTTTCCGACTCCTGCTGCGGACTTACAGGCCCAAACCATAATGTGTCCGCCGTCATGCTTAACGGTGGGTTTTAGATGTTTGTCCTGTACCCTGTTTTATGGGTATCTCTGATGGTTCAGGAGTTATACCTGTTTAATGTTGAAAATTAGGTGTGGGTCAAATAAGCTGTGAGCCACTGTATGTGATTGTGTCCGAGAACACCATAAATATTGCCAGCAAAAAAATATTTATTTAAATATGTTTAAATAACGTTCGTAGCTTATATAACATAAAACGACAAAAACCAGTAGAAAGCTTAAATTAATAATTACTTTTTTTATTATTATACATAGGTACAACCCAAAAAAAATATTTTTTCGAAATAATTTAATAGATTAGTAAAGCAAAATGATGTCAATACGTATGTTTTCTTAACTATATTTTCTTATGATATCTTTTGTTTTCCTATTATTTAAATATGTTATTAAGAAATTAAGTTACACATGGTAAATGACGTCAGCGCTATGATATAAATATATACATATTATCGCCAAATGCGGCCACATCTTTAATAGGAATTATAGATATAATACATTTTCTTAAAATGGGTTAACAAAGCACCACGTTTACGCTTTTTTTTGTATTTGGTTCAAAATTTAGACAAAAATAGATAACAATATAAAGAAAGAACAAAATTGAACAACAAAAGTAATCAAAAATAAACATTAACGAACATTTCTTAAACAAAATTTACAAATTTTCATCAAACTTGCTGTGAGAAAGAAAAAAAAGTAAACTTAAAATTAAATGTAAATTACGTTTTAAAGCAAGAAAAATAATGTAATATATTTTGTAGAATGGTATGATGCTATTTTCGTAATATTTTTCGCACAATTTAATTTTAAGAAATTGACATAATTAGAAATACTGTTTATACTACGAATAAAAGCGGAAGAATGCCTGCAAACAAATATGTCATGTCATCTTAACAAAATATATTTCTCCACACTCACTAACATATTTTGTCGGCAAGGTATAACAATGTTTTTTTGCCGTGACTGACTGACTTCTTTTTGTTTAATTTATTGGTTTAATTTCAATTGTGTATAAGTCTGGTTAGTTTAATAAGAAATCAGACAAAATCTTAAATGAGAAATTTTGAAATTTGGTAACAAACATGCTTTAAAACATTTTTTTTAAAGCCTGCCGATTGGACGTTTATACGTTTTGGCTACCAAAAATCGGGTCAATTTCAATGTTTTTGTTTGCCTCATATGTGGTTTTTTATATCTTTGGGGTCCAATACAATTTAAAAAAAAATAAGAGAGAACGCTATAGTCGAGTGCCTCGACTATTAGATACCCGTTACTCAGCTAAACAACTTAATATAAATATGCCTTCTTGTATGTTTTTTTTTTTTTTTACATAATGTGGATTATAGTGACCACAGGAAAAAAGGACAAAAAGTTCAAATTATCAATTTGAATTCGGCGATCTCTTAGTGCTGGCAGCTTTACAGCACGAGCATAAGCACCAGCGCTGCTTTAGCGCAGGCAGCTTTTGACCTGCACCAGAAGCTGTGTTTATGTTTATGTTTTTGAGTGCAATAAATTGACTAGAAATATTAAACATACATACTTATATTGGCTAAACACATACATTCTTAAATAGTATTATGTATATTAAAGTCTAAATGTTTGCACAATACGAGTAACGGGTATAGCGAATAGCTTTCTTTGAAAGGAGTTATCTTTGCCCGGCAATTGCAACTGTGAACAATGTAAATACATACATATGTATATGCTTACATACATACACACATACGCCATTGTTTGACTCAGACCTCCAATTTGGCTACCTAGATTTGATTTGCATAGTTCTTGGGATATAGTTCGGTATTGGCAAATGAAAACCATCGCAATTTCCTTTAATAGAAATCCTTATCGAGAATTAACGTTGACTCTGTTGAGCACCTTGGCCAGCTGTTCCAAAGTCATCCGTTAGATGGCGCCATGAAAGGCTTAAGCGTTTAATGGGTTTTTGCGCGTTAGAGTGGGCGTGGCAAACTTTTATTAGGCCAATCGATATTTATTGACGAAACAAATACATATCAATTAAAATTTTCATAATATCATCAAAATTGTGGCCACAGCTTGTGGCTTGTGGGCGTCAGAGGGGGCATGGCCCATTTTGAAACAAACTTGCGGTGCGTATCTTCTGGCCTTTATAGTTTCCGAGATCTCTGCGTTCATACGGACAGACAGACAGACGGACATGGCTAGATCGACTCGGCTAGTGATCCTGAACAAGAATATATATACTTTATAGGGTCGGAAACGCTTCCTTCTACCTGTTACATACTTTTGCACGAATACAATATACCCTTTTACCCTACGAGTAACGGGTATAATGACAATTAGGGTGAAAAATGTAATAGAAATGTTTTAGCAATTGGATGGGACCGACCAAAATTGGTCCCTGTTGTATTGTTAAACCGCTGTTTGGCGGCACTAATAATATGTGCAATTATCTTTTTGTTTTTAGTAACTATTCAAAACAATTAAAGCTAAGAACAACTGCAGTTATACTTATTTTCATTGTAAACACTAGTATTTTACAGATAGGCGGTCAGCCTTACTAATGAAAAAATATAGTAAACTTTGCTTAAATTGAAAAAATTCATTTTTATGGAACAGCTGTTCATTTCGGATAGCATTTTAATTAATGAAGGAATACCAAAAGGAATAACAAAAATATATTAATCACGCTTTCAGCTAGTCTGTATTTTCTTTGAACGAGAAGAATGATGATGGGCACAGAATTAAAGCGCAAGCAAATGGTTGCTTCAATTAAATCAGCTTAAATCAGCGGGCATAAAGCTGTCTGGTGGGCCTATTATAGGGACTTGAAAATCCTTCCCTTAGTGCCTAGAACATACTCCCAAAATCGATCGGATATTTCGAGGTTCACTTTCGATATACCGACCCCCACCGAATCTTTATTCACTCTGTTTTGACTCTATTAACTATCGAAACAATCTCACTGTATTATTATACCCTTGCAGAGAGTATTATAATTTTGGTCAAAAGTGTGCAACGCAGTGAAGGAGACATCTTCGACCCTATAAATTATATATATTCTTGATCAGGATCGCGTCCTGAGTTGATATAAGCAAAGACCAATATAATCACTGAGATGCGTAACGCCCATACAATGGTTTTGCAATATGCAGCTCGTTTTTTGGTGGCGACGAAAATTCTGCTCTCTCCGCTCGCACAAAGTTGAGAGCGTAAAAATCTAAAAATAGAATTGCACGAATAAGGAAGTGCGTATGTGTGCGTATTTGTTCGTGAAGACGATTTTCGTCCAGAAATCATTTCTGGACTAAGAAACTAATTGTGTGTCAAAAGAACTTATATGATTAAACAGGATGATTATTTAAATTGCATTTATGTATAAATGGCAATGAAGCTTGATGTAAAACTTTTTTATATACCATAAATATTAATATCTGCATATTTAATTCATAGTTTCGTTTTACATATTTAAATGAAAGCTAAAAACATAACTTTTAATACAAAACATATAAAACTGCTTGATTAAATTTAAAAATATTTCAATAAAGTTTAATATATTTGAATATACTATGATTGTTAAACAAAAACAAAGCGAAGTTTATTTAAATTGAATATATTTAAAGGATATTTAATTAAATATATGTCGCTTTATTTTTTATCCATGGCTGTTTTTATTAACTTTAAAATGGAAATATTAAATTTAATTTTTATTCAAATATATTAAATTTTGATCTAATGACTTAAAATATTTAAAGTAAATACGAATAACATCATATCTAATATTATCAACCTGCACTTAAATCTATTCTTATTTACTCAAGCAGTTTTATATGTTTTGTGTTAAAAGGTATGTTTTTATAATTAATTTAAATATATAAAACGAAAAATTTAATTTAATATGCAGATATTCATTTTTATTTATCCATCGTTTTTTTTGTATACCTAATAAATATTTAAAGCTAATATTATTATTTTATAAAAAGTTTAAATATTTATAATAACACGAATTGAATGCTTAATTATAAAACTAAGCTACAGGATATCCTATTTATATTTAATACTAGCAAGGTG